TTCACATGTCACAGTCACAGTCTTAAAGGTAGAATGTCAAACAGTGACGCAAGAGAGCGTTGTGATATGAAAGATGATGTAGTGACAAGGTTAGAGAGAGGGGTGCTTCGATGGTTTGGTCATGTAGAAAGAATGCATGTTGGTCGATTGACGGCACAAATTTATAGAGCGAATGTGGATGGAAGCGTGGGGAGAGGTAGACCACGGCGAACATGTCTCAATCAGATTGAGGATGTCCTTAAAATAGGCCGGGTTAAAAGTACCAAGAATAAACGGGCATGTATGAAGAGATTGATGGGAGTCGAGGACGCGAAGGTTTGTCAGGAGCGTAGCAAATGGAGGTCCACAGCCGCTGGCAGACAGGCGTGATGATATGTATGTACTTCACATGTCTACTTATATGGGTGTTTGATGTACTAATAAAAATATTTTGTGCACAGAGAAACATACACACAGTGACAAATATGATCGTTTTACACTTGGAGATAAATAAGAAGTTAAAATAATGAATTTGACCATAGTGTAGACGGTTTACTTGCGTATTTGCCTATTTGGCTCCCTTGATGTGCGTCGAGAAATCGACCAGCGCGCGATAACGTGAATTTGGTGTTTGCTGTCGAATAGACAAACAAAGCAAATACTTTGTCACACATGCTGTCTACACACGGTGATTATTTGTCATTGACTTACAAATAAATGGACGACGGGTCTAATACAAAAACCACGAAAAAAATGTTCCAAGTCAACCTATTTAAACGTAGTGACATTTAAAGGAATATGAAAAAGCTAAAACGTCGAATTTAAATTGTAATGTCTTCGCAGTACTGTCTAATTTTGCTTGCTTCGCTGTCAGTCGAACAAACGAAGACTAAAGCGTGAATGACGCTCTGTATACGATTTTAACGCCCTATAAGTTCGGACACTTTTTAGCGCGGACCCGACGTCCATATAATTGTAAGTCAATGTTATTTGCCTATTATATCAAATATGCAAATACAAATAGACATGTGAAGTGCCACCATAACAAAGGTTATTTCAATATAGCACGAGAATACAATGATGAACACCTTATTTATTTTAAATTACTTTTGCGACTTACGTACAATTAAATAATCATCTGACAACCCATGAGCTCTGAGCGAAATGTAACATTGATGCGTTGAACAGGCGGGAGTTGCCTTACTTGTTATTATTATACTACGTTAGAATCTTGAACTGTAACTCAAGATTCTATCAAGTGGTGGTGAAATGCAGGGTCTTTATTACTTGAGATACTATCGTTCAAGATGCCGATGATGGTAGTCTATTAGCGCAGTCTAATCAATTCCTACAATTACCCAACGGACACGTATAGACAGAGCAATCATACGGGATATGCAAGGTAAGCGAGAGGCGGGTGCGAGCCCAAGCTGCCATACACTCGCTCGGGACACACCATTCGGAGCGTACTGTCGTTCTCGTCCGATATTCGTTCGAACCAAATTACTGTCAAATAAATAATACATTCATTCTCATCATGCATTTTTTAGTTTGCTCGAGTATTACTTACTTGACAGTAATTGCTTCGGACGGATGTCGAACGGAGAACGGTAATAGACCCCCAGTTTCGAATCCGAGAAATGACGGTCCAAAATGTCACAGGGATCATTTTATCTTTAGGTGCACAAGCGATATTTGTATTTTCTTGGATTCGAAGTAGGTGGCCTGATTACTAAGTAGCAAGTGTGCGATTGGAACAATGGCGAACTTCCATAGAAATTTTTGTTGACCAATTATTAATGCGTGTGTATGAAAAATAATGTAAAAATAAAGAGTTTTAATTCCTTAACCAATTGGGTTTCAGATTTACCATTCTAAGAAATCTGAAATTCAAGATATTCCAGTTTGAAGTTTTGCAGACTATGTTTACTTTTACTTCTTGCTTCACTTAATTGATTTAATTATATTTCGTGCATTTTTATATCAACTTAAACTACAGAAACCTGAATCAGAGTTAATAGAAGCCAAATGGTGCCGTGGGTTAGTGTTGGTTGGACGAAAGTTAGAGGAAAACATTGTTTATAAGATATGGTCAAAAGACATGAAGTCAAGCCATAAAAAAGAAGAGTAAGATAAACCTTATCACGCCCTAGTTTTTTTTGAAACGCCATCTATCCGTGAAATCGGGAACTTTTTTTCCACTTTCGCGTGGCATTATATGTATTACCTTATTTTCTAATAAATAATTTTCAAATAGGTATTGAAAACACTTGGCGGTCAGATGTCGCTTAACGTTAAGGAATTAAGGAACTGACAATTGTAGATTCGGTCTAGGTTACTTACTATAGTAATAATTTGATTTTCATTTAGATATGATTTTATTTCCAGACTTCGATAGGCCTTTGCTTTGGTATAATTTGAAAAAACCTAATGAATGTATTTTATTCAAATTCGTAATTACGCTAAAGAATTTTTTCAACAATTATTTCGCCATTGGTCTTTGCGTGTCGCTTACCATCAGGCGCACGACTTATTCGTCTCGTCATTTGTTATCATAAAAATACGCAGACTTGACATGAGAAAATATTAAAAATACGTAGTTTCCAAGCTTTGACCTTACACTAAAAAAAAAGACAATGATTTATATGTACTGACTGGAACAGAATAGATAAGTGGAAAGTTGCTTGTCTCCCGTGATTTTGAATTAATACGAAGTCCAATTTTATTTATTTACAGCGCCCATCAAAAGATTAAACATAAATCATTATTTGATGAAATGGTGGGGGCGACTCCGGAGGGGCATTTACGGTGAAGCCGTCTTTCATAACTGAGGCGGTTTAGCAATGAAAACGTTACTCAATGGTACAATAATCTATACCTAGAGCAAGGTATATAAACCAAGATTTGAGGAGGTGAGGTGTGGGGGCGGTCTCTCGCGTCCCGCAATCCGAGTGCTTAAAATTAATATGAATAAAATCAAGAACAGGCGGAGAAAATTTGACACCGATGTAGACAAGCGCGTGATGGCGACTAATGGGGCGGTGGGAGGTGCGACGTATCGTTAAACCGCTGGGTAATTATGAAGTTTTCGGATAATTGTGAATTTATAAACTACAGGGTTTACAGTTGAAAATCAAAATTTTGCAGTTTCTCTGTAGTACTACATAAAGAGAAATATCTCCATATTTAAATTACGTGGAAAGTTACATAGTTAATAGCGACATCTCTAGCCAGGGCTGGTAGCTGCAAAGGTACCTAACTGCGTGACGAAGTATTTTCATAGATTTCACATAGATGGCGCTACGGCTAAAAATCGTTGAAAAAACCCAAAGATCCGACAACAAGTACATAGAAACATTCGTGAGGTCCGCTGGTTCGTTCCGTGGCTTAGTTGGCATAGCGTCTCTGGCTCGGTTTGCTAGGAGACGTCGATTCAATTCCGGCCGGATCGCAGGACTTTCTTTTAAGTGTTCGATCTTTATATTAATAATTACAAACTGGTTGAGTAATTTCGCAAAAAACAATTGAATATCAATTCAATAAAAATTGAATTACTTTTCTTTTAAATAATTCGTTTTACACTTATATCTTAGCCTGTTTTCGGGATTTTTATATGACCGGATAAAGTACATGCTATCGTTTAACGAATTAGCAGATCCTATAGACAATATCTATAAGAGTATCGTAAATTTTTTATAAAGCCGTTATTTAATAATAAATCTAATGTAATTTATTTATTTTTTCTCTGACAACCTTTTTACTAACATATTTTTTGTGATGATATAAATCGCGTATATTTTCAAACAAACCGCGCAAGTCTGCAGGCTGCGAGCATGTCATAGATAAACCTACACATTCAATGAAGTTTGAGAAACCCTAGGTCCTTGGAAAAGAAGTCTCTACCCAGGATGATGCGAGAGGCCATTGAAATTAAAAAACATCCTAATTTCAACACGTTGGATTTTCAACAGTATGTTTTCTCCGTACCACCAGTTTGGGATCCAGTATTTACTCTGATGAAAAATCCCAAGCAGACATAAGATTGCAGTACTAAAATTAATATGTTTTAATTTATTATTTTTTTCCATTATTAATAATAAATTTATATTAATAAAAATTCATATTGTTACAATAAAATAATTTGTAAAATAATGTGGCGTAAGTTGGAATGTTTCTTTGTAAAATTAAAAATAAGGTATTTAATTAATAACTTTTGTAACAATAGTGAAAAAATAGGGTGGTTTGCATTAATATTAGGCATAACTGGTTGACCTCAGTCAACCATGACCATGTGCCCCGCGCGTCTTCTCGCCATAGGTCCTCGTCTAGACTGGAGACCACTACAAAGACGCGTTAGCTTGGGCGCGGGACGATAGCCCCGGCCACAAACTGCTATGGACAAGCATGTGACTTACCACGTCCCGTTCTTTGGTGTTGTAAAACAAAAAAGTCATCTCCACACATCTTTCACCTCATCAAAGCTTTCATCTAATCGATTAAGCCTACTCCTGATCTGGTCTTTCTTTAGACCGCCTTCAATTTGGTCAGGCAAGTTCGGCAGTGTAAATAAAACATAGTCTAACAATAATCAGGTACACACACATACACAGAAACATCATTAAACATATTGAACCTTGGTATGTCAATATAAAGTTAAAAATAAACTTATCACAAACTATCCCTTGTGTCGTGTTAATGGGTCGTCTACAATATAAACTTTACTCAGTTAGTTCACAGTTATTTAGCAGTCAACAACGTTTAACACAAAAATGTATAAGTTAACTTTACCAAGTAAATAAACGTTTAAATTAAAAAGATACGTTTACATTTCATGTGTTGTTGTTTTTAATATATAAAAAAAAACATTGTGAATATTGTGTTGCGTGTAGTGATTTCACTATGTAGGTGTAAAGATTGCAACTGTTAACAATGATGCACGTTTATAAACATTGGAATCATTGCAGCGTAATAAAATCTATAAAATAAATAATTAAAAGTAAATTTCAGTCATCAACCTACCAATTCAAGGGAATAAAAACAACCTACCTACCTTCAGATTTTTTTTGTACGTAATTAAATTTTGTTGTCACCAATTTGGGCTACGTTTTTACGAAAAAATGTACTAATTTGAACAAAAATATTGGTACAAGTATTTATTGTGTACTTATTTACGATTTAAAAGACAAAATGTAATAATAAATGACAGTTTTATAAACAAAGTGACAACAAAAAACAAAAATGCACAAAACACTATTTATTCTTATTTTTGTGACGTTCAATTTAAAATGCAGTGAAGCAAGTGATATTTTTCATATAAACAGCAATATTACTTTTTATCCGGATAGTGTTTCTGATTATTTCGGATATGCCGTCGTCTTGAGCGATGCTGGGTAAGTCTTTACTGAGTTTACTTATACGTGTTTTGTCTTTGTTATTTTTCGAGACATTAAAAGACAATATTGATTTGAACACTACATACAACGCAACTTTAATAATAAAATGACTTAACTGGA